AGTTTTATGTAGATAGTTTAGATTCAAGACATATCTCTATACCTAACTGTTGTTAACATTTTTCACTATTGTGTAAACGAAAGAGTACAAATCTATGGATTTGAATAGTGTATACTCACCCTAGTTTTACATTATATATTCTTGGATATCTATGTAGACTTTTCCAACTTTTCTTATCGCAGACAACCACATTAAAATGTTGACGTGAAGCAAAAAAAATATATATATATAAAGACTCAAACTTAAAGAAAAAGACGCGGAAACGAGTCCTGCATTCATCTTAGAATACTAAGACCGCAGTCTCTTAAAGTGAAAATATAAATTAAGAAGTTGAAAGTGGTAAAGAGTCAAGAATGAGTCAACCAACACGACCCTAGCAAACTTTAAAACCAACTTGTGATCTGCGTTTAGTAGTAGTAAAGCTACTGGTGAATATTATTGCCACCTCTCAAAATAAAAGAAATTGAAGAAGATTACATAAATATTTAAAAAGTATGACAAGATATTATAGTTTATTTGTTAATTAACAACAACATGACGTCATGTCCTTTTATCTCTGAAGGCATACGCAAAACTCAATATACCTCTAATATGAAACATCGTATTGAACTAGTGAACAGACTATGATAGGCATTGCTGGGTGGGTCATAAGTCCCATTTAATAAGGGGTGAGCATATTGCCATTTACAGAGCACGTGATCATTAATTGATATTGATTATTGGAATATGTATTTTTAATATAGGACATACACATAACTTCTAGTTTGATAATAATCTTTTTTTGCAATTTTAGCGAATTCAATGTAATACTACCACCAATATAGTTGGGCATACTCCAAGAGAAGGAAGAAGGAGATTTTATCGAAATATTCTTTGGCATAACCTCAGGAGGTCGCTTTAGACTTAAGTTCGTGAAGATATTGCTTGCAAACTTACTTGGAGATAGCCTCGAGTGTCATACCAATTTATGACGTATATATATACTTGTAAAATGTAAATATTCTTTGGTCTATTCATAATTTGAAATTGGGATCGCTATATTGCTATTTGGCAACGCGTGTTTAACCTAGATCTTTTAATTTTCTATGCAATTTGTATAATGGACTGATGTATCTTGTTTGTTGATACAATGTGGTAGGTAAAGGTCGAATATTGAACTGATTATATCATACATAATGTTGTTGGTTGAGCACTTGCAAGAATGACTGCTAAAAGGTATTAGATGAAATGAAAGCCAGCCTATTACAGACGGCTTATAATTACAGAGATCGTGATCATTTAGGGAGAAAAATAGAAAATCAATGTCCTTAATTTTTTAAAACCGAATACGTTACTTGAACATAGCTTAAAAATATAAGTTAAGAGCTTTTAAATACAGCGTTGGTATTATTTTTTTTAAATATACGCTACCTACGCTGGAAGCCGTTCAGCATCGCCATTGATCAGGGGTGTCGCGCACACCGGCAGGTGCCGCCTCACATTGCAGGTGCTAGTGACATGAGCGCTATAAATTACACAGCCCTAAAAATTAACCCGCCTATCGTAACTCCCTTCAGCATTTTGTGGTTATGAAAAGAATTATGCAATTTAGTCGTTATCGATAATATTTTTATTCAAAATAAATATTAACTATACCTCTAATAATAACTATTAGCAAATATTTTACTTTGAGCCTTAATAATCGCAATCAAAAAATCAAATATAATAAAACGTAAAATGAACTTTGGAAACTCAAAAATCCAATATAATATTCTTGTCTACCCGTCCTTTACTGACATTATGAATATTAGAATTTAAAATACTCCAGCAAACTTTTCTTTCTATCGCGATCATCCATAATGTAAGCATTTCAAATATTTGCCCAACAATATTTGTTTTAAGTTTGCAAACATTTTAGTTTAACCGAAAAACTAATACTAAAATATCAATCGTGCTTTAGAATATATTTTAGCTATAGTATAATCAAAAACAATATTTTGAACAAGGCACACAGAAAGATTGTATCTCGAAAAGACCAAACTTGTACTGTTGTACTCGCTTGTAAATTCGGGTCGTCTACATTTAAAACACGCTTAACTATATGTCACGATACATTTGAAATTCACCTCTATGATTAAGAGTATAAGGTAGTATTGAACTGCATGATAAATATTGCAGTTATCTAAGCAAACATTCAGTGTAGCCCCAAATTGTTGCGGTTTCCGACGCTCCGTTCGTATGTTTGTATGAAGTAAACACCACACAATTGTCGCTGATTTGTTTGTTCTTCGATAGTTGCGGTAATTGTTTTGACCCTACAATATACTGCCAATGTTATTTTGTGTTACAAGACAGTGTATGAGATGTTGCAAGCATATAGTTTGTTAATGGTGCAGTAACATATTGCTAGCTACTGGATCGTTTGTCTAGTTGGTAGTGCGAGATACGGGGGTAACTGAACTGTACAGGGCTTTGTGTGGACTACTAGCGATTTTGAAACTTCTCTAAATCTCTATGTGTATTTTTTTTCTTTTTTTTAAGGGGAAATTCATCAAATGACTGCTCCCGCCTGGGTGAGGCGGGAGGGAGTGTCAGACTCTTACTGACTAAAAACCACCCCGTTCCTTCTCCTGCACGTCGAGCCGGAGCCCCGGTTACCCGTTAGGTTCTCCGCGATCTCTATGTGTATAAGAACTAAGGAGCTAATCTTTGAGGTTTTAATGAGATTGCATACATCATGTGATGTGATACACATTTAGGTCCAATGTGTACTCGTTAATATGGAATCGAAAAATATTATTTATGTTATGTAGATTATGTAAATACATTAAACACTTATAGTTTATTTTGTTATCGCAAGGTAATCTTGGGCTCCCTTTGCATTGCACCACTTTACCAGAAGTGGGCAGTAAAGATAAGTAAATTTCGTTTCAGCACACACTATAAACCTTTAAATTGGTTTACCCTTCATGAATTTTAAATGCGTAAATTGGGACATAATTGACGCGGTTTACCGTTCCGCCATATTAGTAACGGTTAACGCTACCGTTGACCACAACATTGTTCTGTGTTTGAAATCGCTTCAATTCCATATTTAAATATTTTCCCGGTAAAGTCGTATGCGTTGTTTTGCTCATTTATGGTTTTGTTCGATTGAGGTTTTATTTCTAACGAGGTTTGTTGATGCATTATAAGTTAAAAAAAAATTTTTGGCTCACATTGGATTTACTTTACTAACTTTTCCATCAGTACATGTTAACAAAGACATAAGTTATATCCCAGCTAATCCAAATATTAATTTAATTTAATGATATAAACAATTTTCGTACAGAGCGTTCAAATCAAATTTTCCTGTCATGTAGACTAATCAAATACACTTCCCATTTCTAAACGGCTCGATTAAAAGGTGGGGTACATCTACCTGGTACAGAGTCACTAAAGGTGAGTTTATTCAATATACGCAGGCCGTCCCATTGGTCGTATCCTTGATACCTACTCGACGGCAATTAAGTGCTTTTCCTGCGCCCGAGGCTACCGCCAAATCAGATTCCAGGCTCCCCTAGACGCCATGTTAAATACGCACAGTGTAGCTAAATATTTATGAAAAATGTAGCTTTTATCAGAGCGTCAATTTTTTCTATGTTATTTTTTTAGTCTGCGTTATGGTTGGTAGGGTGACCAAACTAGATAAGGCGCAGCCCAGAGTGTAACATCCATAAAATTACATACAGGAGGGGTCGACGCGACGGGCCAGTTATCGAATCACTTCGGAATGCATAGGATATTTTACGCTTGTACAACGCTGTGATGGCTAAATCAATTTTATGGAAACTGCCGAGAGACGAACAAAAAACTGCATATTAGAATATAGACCCGGTTTAAATAAATTTTATAAAAATATTTACCGTAAATCTATTTAAGTTTACTTAGATTAATGCTTCTTTAAGTTGTCTGTATTCAACTATAGCTACCCATCCCCGTCAACATCCTATCCGCTGGTTCAACGAAAAACAAACAAGTCGAGTAGAATAAACAAAATAAAAAGAAAATACTCCTTCAGCATAATGCTTTTAAACCCCTTCGAGTCGTCCATTTGCAAGTACAGAGTTTACAAATAAACTGAAATCAAAATGAATAGTTTATGCAAATCCTATGAGCAGTTCTTGAGCGAACAAAAATAAAGACAAATGTGTTTTTGTTGAGAAAACCAATATACTTGTAGAAAGTGCATGGCTCACCAGCGAGGATCGTGACGGGAAATTAAACCGGGATTACAAAGCGTGGATCTTCATTACTTACATTGTTTTAATATAACTTATGCTTTAAACTGTCAAACACCAAGCGGTCACCGGTGACCGCAACCTATTGTTCTATAATTGTGTCTACAAAACCGGTACTCGACGAGTTAAAGTGTTTTGATATAAGAAAAATAATATCGGTTATTACTGTCATCATTAGTTTAAATGGTTGTATGGTTGAATTATACGCAGTCATCATCATCATCAACAGCCGAAAGCCGGCACTGTTGAACAATGGCTTGGAATAATACATGCAGTGCTTGCTTATAATTCGATATTATTCAGTTTATCGACAGCAAAATTCTTAACGATAATACTATCATTTTGCGTTCCTCATATATTAAAAGACTTCTGCATTAATAAATAGTTACATACTTTAAGACACTATGTATCTTATTTACTTAAGTTTATTGCTACAATATCATTAAACATTTACACACAAGATACCTTTTTTTTACTTTCGGTTAGAGACACCTGTGTAGAATGTCTCCAGACAGCACAATGTGGCAGTACGTCACGTAACCCGTTATAACTTCAATATTTCTAATGGCGACCCATCCAATCGTTCGCAATGGTATTGTTATCGACGAAAGACAATGTCCTTTGTTGCAACGTTATTTGTTTTTTCATTTCTATTTGAAAATGTTGTGGTTATAATAAAAGGTGTTATTTTTATTATATATTGGAAATCAATAAAGATAAACATGATTTTAATTGACATAAATATATTTACAGTTTCCATCGAAACTTCGACGTATGTAATTTACAAGGACGTCAAAGATTTTTTCAATTACAATTGAATAGAGATAAGCAATTTAGAGATTAATTTCTATAGCGGTCTTGCACTAATCTTTCTACACACGATAATACACAGTGATCGGAATAATGTGGATTATCATTGCCAATTATAAATAATATTTTGATTTCAACATTGAATTGCTTTACATCTAGATCATTATATCTTGTATCTGTATTGTATCTTATTGTATCTTCTCATACACTCCAAGGTAGGGAGGGGGAAACTACCTTCCAATATCATTATCATTATAGCAAACATTAAAAATGCTTTTTCTAAATAAACTTTCTTCGCTTTTCTTTCAATGACCCCCTCTATCATTTATTTTGTCTCCTATGATTATTTCTTCTGGCTAAGGCTCTTGGGTTTCTTTTGGTGCAGTTGCCATTGTTTCAGGAACCTTTTCTTTCTTCATATTTGGCAGAGTAAGACAGGTTAAACCATTTACTGTAATGAAGTAGAAATCATTGAACACATTAATTGAGCTAACTAGCTAGGATCTAATTGAGCTAAGTAGAAAAGTATTAAAAAGAAAACATCTTTTTACAAAAGTAAAAATTAATAATTTGTTAATATATTCGAAAAAAAAAAACATTGCCCTGACTCCAAGTAGTTCGGGATATAGGTAGAATGAAGAAGAAATCCATAATGAAATGGTAACCATTTGCACATATTATCAGAATTAGTATTCCGCCTCACAGAAAACCGACGTAAAGCAACGCTTGCGTTGTGTTTCGTCGTGTGAGTGATGTTACCGGCGGCCCAATTACACTCCCCAATCTCCCCAATTCCTGAATCCCCAACGATCCTCAAACTCCTAATCCCCAAAAGGCCGGTAACGCACTTGTAACGCCTCTGGTGTTCCAGGTGTCAATGGGCGACGCCGATTGCTTACCATCAGGTGATCCGGCTGCTCGTTTACCGGCTTATGCCATAAAAGAAAAATTCAGGCCATATTCTACTCACCAACCAGGAGACTTCCGAATAAATAAAATCCAGCTCCACAATTGATGTCCAAGAATAAACCAATTAGATAGGATCCGACCATAGAACCTGTACGTCCCGACATCATTGATAAACAGACCGCCATACCCCTGTGTAAAAGAAAATCAACCTTATTCTAACGTCCATACGGAATAGAGATATTTACAAAGACTGGACAATAAAAGAAGATATACAGTAATTATCTTGTTAATTAAGGAACTATCAACTTAATCTATTGAACCGAAAATCTCAGAACAATGTATTTTAAGTATTTATACCTCTACACTGTGAAATCTATTTCGTTTTCGTCCTGACCAATTCGTCTTCGTCCTGAATCTCAAAGAATCCTCAAATTTCTAATCCCTAAAAGAGCGGTAACGCATTTGTAACGCCTCTGGTGTTCCAAGTGTTTATAGGCGACTTCGATTGCTTACTATTAGGTGATCCGTCTGCTCGTTTACCAGCTTTATCAAAAAAAAGGATATAATAATGTGCAAAAAGAAAGTACCTTAGTTTAGTTGAATGGTTTAGAGCAGATAATGTAACTTACCTATACTTCGTAGGAAACAATTGAACAGCAACAGCGTTAGTCAACCCGACACAGGCACCAGACATTTGGAAGATAGCAAACAGTACCACAGCAATTTGCTGGTCGTACACCAGATTGGCACTAATGGCACAGATGCCAGTGATGGTCAAGGTCACCACCAAGATGTACTTCTTGCCTAAAAAGTCCACTAGAACTGCTACAATGAGGTACATGGAACAGAAGACGAGTCCAACGTAGATTGAACGCTCGAATGTTGAGGTGTAGATTGTGTCGTCACAGATGATCTGCAATGCAAAAAGGTTGGTAATATATCTATACACTTAACTTTAATGAGTGGTTTGTTTTTTGAATGTTTATTGAAACAAAAATGTTTGATTTATTGAGCTAATGATTATTATGAAATGTAGTCGGTGACAAGCACATAAAGGGATAATATATCGACAAGTCGGTGGTTCAAACTTATTGTTACACATCTGGCGGAATCTTAGACTCTGCGCAATTAATGAGAATTTTGAGAATATACATAAACCTAGTAATTTTTGTTTGACCCACGCCAGGAATCCATCCTAATTGTTTGTCAAGTAATATAAACAAAATATTGTTGAGAAGTCAGTGCTAAAGTTTCACTAACCATAGTACTATTTAGAGAATCAGCAGCAGTTTTGGCTCTTGTCAACTCGATGACGTCACAAATTTTCATGTTGGCGCTGTCCTGGCTACTTAACGCGTTCAAAATAGTCGGGAACCAGATGTAGAAGCCGTTTGTTCTGAAATAATACAAAAACTGTTATTTTACTTAGTTTCACGTAACACGTTCCATCTCTACATTACATTTGTAGTATGCAAATATGGTTATTAAGTTCATCTTCATATACAACTCAGAAGCAACAGGGAATCACTTTCGCTCCATGTAAATAAAAGGCAATTTAATAAATGACTGCAAATTCAAGTTTAGGTTTGTCTCATATAGTCGTAAAAATCAGGAAATATATTAATTTACATTAAAATGTCTTAACATAGTGAAGATACTTACGCAGAAAATATTCCAAACTGCACAAAGCAGGTGAGACAAATCCAGGGAAGGAGTGGCGGTTTGAAGATTGGTAAAGTTTGTTCCTTCATAGAAGACAATATACCGGTTATGCCTTTACCCTTGTCTGTGTTTGTGACTTGATTCTCTGCAATCAGCGACTTCACCTTGAAGGAAAAGATAATAAAATCTTTAATAGTATTTACGACACTTTAACAAACATTAATCGATAAAAACTAGTCCTTTTTATAGATATATGTAGTATTTTGTTAGTTTATATTAATTTAAACTCTATTTGAATTAGAAGTAAATACAACATTCTATAATTAACGTTGAAGGCACATTTATAAATAGTTTTTTTAAAACCGTGTTTTCATTTTCACTTTCTCAGTAACAAATAAACAAATAAATTTATTACATAAGAAGCCTTACATTCTAAAAATATTCTTCACTGTTTTACGTTTTTTTTTGAGTTTGAAATAATAATTTTGAAATAAGTAGTTATTATAAGTCGGCATGATATTATATTTACTTACAATAAAACTATCTTTTGGCTTGTAGTTATTGGCTGCGTAGATTATTCTCAATACTTCCAAACACTCTTCATGGCGACCACTAGAATAGAGGAACTTGGGGCTCTCTGGTGCAAAGAATAGAAAAGTTGTAGCGAGCGCGAATGGAATGGTACAAGCCACGACTAGCAACCTCCAGGGCCGATAATAAATATCCAAGAACTCCATGTAGTAGGAGAAGTTTAGTGGTAGAATCAGCCAAGACAGACCTGGAATAGAAGCATGGTGAGTTAGTACCGATTTATTATTTACTAGCGACCCGCCCCGGCTTCGCACGGGTGCAATATGCATGTATTATACATACAAACCTTCCTTAAGAATCACTCTATCTATTAAAAAAAACCGCATCAAAATCCGTTGCGTAGTTTTAAAGATCTAAGCATACATACGGACATACAGCGAAAGCGACTTTGTTTTATACTATGTATTGAT